TCAAATCGTTCGCCATTTGTTTTTTTTTTCGTAACTACAATCCAATTCTTTGTTTGCACGATGCGAGAAAACCTGTTTAACCGGTACTCTACAATAGACGAGTACAAATACCGCGTGATATTTGTACTCATCTATGGCGTTATTTGTACTCGTCTAGGTGTAGTTGGATAATAAACAAGACTATCTGCTTTACCTGACAGTATCCTGTTTCTGTATCATATTCTGCGTAAGCTTTCAAGATGTCAAATAAATCCTTCTGCCCTGAGCCATCATTTTCACTAAACAGCTCATGAAATGGGAAAGTTCTGCTGAGATCTTTAGTAATCACATCCTGCCATGCTGAGGATTCTTTCATTACCAGTTCCTAAAATAAGTCAGATATTAGAATAACATTCTAATCTCCAGTTCAAACATTGCATACACAAACTTTTATTGCAAGACTATATTTCAACACAGTGTTGCACAACAAAATATTCCTTAGGCTAATAGATAGAAATAGTGTGATTGACGACCAGGTTTTTAAGTCCTCTGAATAGGTAAGAAAGAATTTCGAGCAAATACAAATGGGAAAATAAAAAAATCAATAAAAATATTGTGAAGAAAGCAGTTAGAAAAGTTTCTGTCAAGTAAGCAAGTGACTATAGTTTACATCAAATATTTCAAATAATATTTGACATCTGACACTCATATAAAGACTTCGACCTTCTGACACAGTTACCTCCCTGATAAGATACTGATAGCTTCTAAAGAAAACGAGAGGGCCTTATGCCCCAGGTGAACTATGTTTTCCATTATAATTCAGGAGCTTCAAGGTAAAGGTAAAGTCTGTACTTGAACCAAGTGGTCTATACAGCCAGAGCTTATCAGCCAGAGTATAAATGGACAAAGAGTTTTACCACTCTCCCCTTGATGGACTATGAGCTCAACTCAAGGTCACCCCAAGTATTTCATCAGGGTTCCCTGACAATTTTCCAGTCCTGAATAATACTCCTGGGAGGAGAGGGGCACTACAAGAGTGAAGTGTTTTGACCAAGAACATAACACATTGATCCAGCCAGGCCTTGAACCCAGACCTCTTGCCCCAGAGTCCAGTGCACTGACCATTAGACAACTGTAAGTTTCAAAGCCAACTAACTTACAAAAACTTGGCTTTCAAAGTTCTTCAAGAAAGCAACATTTCAAAGTTTTGTACACAAATCGACAATCAGACTATATATTTGCGGTAGTTGCCTTCCAACATACTTGAAATATTCCTTCATTTTTCTTCTTTAGATCCACACTGCCTGATAAGTGCTGCCAAGCCTGCCCACGAACAGAAGAAGGAATACCTTTGCGGCATCTTTCCTTTACCTAGTTGGTTAAGAAAATTTAATGCATTAGTTGCATTTACTGCATTAGTTGGTTAAAGAGTATATCAAAGTAAACTCAGCTTTGCTCCAAATCATATTCTTGAAAAACCACAAAGCCTAACAATTTTGTGATTTATCATGTCATGTAAAGAGGCTTCTTGGAAATTAACAGAAAGAAGAGGTGGGTGTGAAAACATTCAGATTTTTTAACCATACAAAATTGAAGGTTGTAAAAAGGACACAGTAAATAGGGAGGATCATAAAAAAAAAAAGACATTCTGATCATAATGTGATGTTTAAATGTCATGTCTCCCTCAAAAGCTAAACAATTTCCCTTGTCTTGTTTCTCCAAAGGGGAGGTCCCTCACAGCTTTATAACAGGTCTTAATTCAAGTTTTTTCAAAAATTTTCCTTCCAACATTACATCACAAATTTTGAGATACTGTTTATGAGGGAGGGGATGATAACATTTTCCAATAATTCCAGGGGGGGATCTGAAAAAATTTCAATCCATCAGCCAATGGGAGGGAGGTATTTCATTTTTATTGCATTACTTAAGATCTCTAGCCTATTCTCCACAAATATATTAACTCATGTATTGAACCAAACTATGTTTATCATATCTTTACTAAATACAGAAAGAAGTATAGGCCTTATTCTATTTTTTATTCAGCTTTGGAAAAAAATTGACCTTTGAGGACTTCTTTGTCATCCATTTATCCCAGTTATCTAACATGTGCACCCATTTCATTTCTCGTTGCCTTGTTACTTCATCGGGTAACCCAGTTTTGCTGTCTCTAGAAGAAGAAAGGTGGGATAAACATCACGTAAAACATTACGTAATATGACACTTCCATTTTCTCTTTAAATGTACTATTTTTTATTTTCTTACACCAGCCAAAATTTATTTTTGGCAACCATTTTGAGGTTTAAGGTTGTCATGTGGGCACTTTCAAATAGTTGGGCTTAGAGCTTAGGTAAATATGGAAAAAAGCACAGTCTTGATGTAAGAAGATTCCCCTTTTATCTAACTTAACCTCTAATTTACAAATTCGTTTTTACAATAAATTTAATAATAATAATTTCGATCATACCTCTACTGCCCCTTGCTCTAAATCCGCCATGACTATGAACAAGATTGTGGTCGACAGACGGAAATTATAATGCAAGGGAGCTCTAACACACTTACCAAGCTTTACACTCCACATTTCGACTGAAGAAAGTTTTTTTAAAATTACTTTAAGTTAAATTAAACACAAGTAAACTTACGAGGCTTGTTTGTGATCTCCGACAAAACCGTACCGGTCGACAGATGGACCTGCAGGTAAATTCTCGTCTGGATTGATAGGCGTGAAGCCATTCAGCTGAATATTTGGTGGTTCATAAAATTCCATGATTCCAACCAAGAAATACAGGAACAAAGTCCATTACAGCTGCGATTATTGTATCGTCATTCTTGCCAAGTCATTAAATTTCCTCCATGCAGTTCACCAGACGAGTACGTTTCAAGGACGGAACAAAATTTTGCAGCATGTGTTTCGGGCGAACGCCTTATCAACGGATAGCTATGCAAGCTAAACTACGCTTTTGATATGAACAAAAAATACTCAGAAGGCACAACCTCCTACCGAGTCGGAAGTCATATTTTTAAATTCAGTAAATGATAAAAATATAATATTGATTTTGAGGGTGTTCTCTTTATTAGATACCGCTTACCAATAATGACTCGACCGCCGGGCGGGCTCAGCTGAGAGGCAGAGCATGTCATCAGTGCTAAAATTCTCCTTAAAGGTTTTGATACAGTATCCTTTAAACAGTCAATGAGAAGTAATGGATAAAAAACAGCAAATACAGGACAAAAGGTGTTTCTTCATCAAGGAGGACAAGGTCTGGCGCTCTCGCAGCCGAAGAGATTTGTCTGATCATAAGTCGTGAGGGAACGGACTAAGAAAAAGGGGTTATTAGGCAGCCCCTAACAGTTTCTTTCGAAACTATCAGCCTTTATTCATTATTACGTAACAGCCCGCAACTAATCAGTCAATTCGTAAGACATCGCTTCATAAAGATTTATTGGGGTTACTAAATATTTAAGAATAAACACTAGCGAGAAAAACACACAACGTTTCGATGACTCCATGTCATCATTCTCAAGTGAGAAGAGAATAAAAATGAATAGTTAATTTATACCGTACGAAGGTGGCAAACGTAAAAAGTTTAAAATATTTAAAATATTTAAATAAATAATTGCGCGTGTTGAGTTCATAAATGTAAACTATTAAATAAATAGTTTCGCGCGTATGGAATCCGATTGTTTGTTCAAAGAGGGCTTCATCTTCTTTATGAAAAGCATTTCATGAACTAAACAGTCCAGTTTCCCGGTGCACTTTTTAAGTACGTTGAAATGCTTGGTCAGGTCGCCGATGGTTTGTAGGCCGTGGTCGTTCTTTAGATGTTTGCCGATGGCCGAATTACGGTGCTCATTAATACGTTGATGTAAATGCCGGCTGGTGTACCCGACGTACTCTGCATCACACAGATCACATTTATAATTATATACAACGCATTGTTGGCTAACTATAGGAGGTTTAGGCTCACGTACTCTGAGATCTTCACAGATTTTGCGACTCTTGAACACGGGATGAAGGGTGTGATCGATTTTGTTGCTTAGATCTGATAATTGCCTTTTCACTGCGTCAGCTGACTTTTGATCTTTAAAAGGCAAAACCACTCGGTGAACAGCATTTTCGTTGACGNNNNTAACTCTGTTTGAATAACCGCCACAAAAACACGCAAAAACCGAAAACCGCGAGCTAAATTTATGATTTCCCGCAACCGCACGATAATTTCTTAACCGTAAACCGCCAGATAAATGTGAAAGAAACCGCAAACCGGCACTCAAACTTGGCTTAAACCGCGAAACCGCCAGACTATAATAGACCCTCGGGGTAGGCTACTATTTAACAGCTGCTGTTCGGGAAATGAGCCCCGAAGATCACCCTACAGGCCCACACTTCATGATACTTTACGCGATTTTTGCCATGCAGCAAAGCGTACTGTCGCAAATTGACAGACCCGACTTTTTCCATGAAAAAATTAAAAGCAACACCCTTATCTCGTCCCGTTCTCCTTCTTGCAGCAAATTCTCTCTAGTTTTTCCGGACGAAGGAAAGTCGCTCATGAATGCAGATGGGTTGGCATCTGGGTTCAAGGTGATTCCAATTTGAGCTTCAGGTCAATATAACAAATAAAACAATTAACACGAAACCAGATAGTCTGCAGTTTCTTCCGCCCCCATACACTAACAGGTAGGCTTTTATTGGATTCCGAGCAAGCCTCGTTTCTTTTAACAAAATGGCAACAGTGATTCTTCGCCCCCGGATAAGTAGAGCTACGCGAGCAGGCGAGAGTTCTTCAAGGACAGGTGGCTATCACTGATTAGTGGTGCTAGACTCCCGGCAAACATCTCCTTGACTCGTTTCCAATCTTCCCGTGGGCGGGAAACGCGCGAAACGCGCGAACGGCGGTGCTATGAGGGCCCTGTTCGAAGGCTTGGTTTTTATTTGCTGAAGGGGTTACAAATCTAATGAATAATCGACTGTTATGACAATAAATAGCGTGCATTGTCCATTGTCAGCAGGTGCCGCTATAGTGACCTTGTAAAATATTAATTCTAACTAAGGAGGTGTTTAGGAATTAACAGTGTAACCAGCTAAGACAATAAAATAAATGTCGTGAAACAGCAAGAAACCTCTTCAAGATTTTACCATCAACCGGCATGAAAAAATGGCGACCGATTAGGATGCTATGCTAGTAATGTTCTACTCAACAGAGCAGCGTAAACTATTGATTGTTCTGGTGGCGCATTGTGTTTTTAGACTAAACTCTCTGCCATTACCTGATGGAGCGAGAAAACTGGAGGACTCTGACTCTGGTAAGATTTTGAAATTAATTTCAGTCATTTCTTGTTATTGTTTTGATTATAACTCTTAGACGATTAAGAAACTAATTAAAATCAGATTAGGTTTAACTTTTTCCNTTGTTCGAAAGCCGATTGGCGCTAACCCAGGATTAAATTTTAATCCAGGTTTCTATATTTCTCTGTTCAAAAGCCATTTTGAGGTATTTATCCCAATTTTTTTCTTAGAACATTCAATCATCAAATGGTAGACCGGCAAATGGATTTAAACCGAATTTTCTTTTAAAGCTTTCAGATCTAAAATTAATTTTCACACTAATCCTGGGTTATTTTAAGCCACCTTTGAACAACCCGGCGGAGAGAAAGAGAGATTCTGGCAAAACGTCAACTGGGCCGGTCCAGCTGTGTGGTCCGTTTCTGGAAAGTCCCGGTAACTTAACGGGCCCGAAGCCAAGCTTTTAAATCAAAATTTAAAGGATAGAAAAGCAAGTTCTAGCACACAAATTAGTCCATTTTGTTTCTTCAGCTGACAGTTTTATTGTATTATTTTCAAAACTTTTGAAATCCCCATCTTGAATGAAAACAGAACAGCTTTACGGGTCCATTAAGTGACTGGGGCTTTCGAGAAACGGGCCAGAGGGTGTCATGCAACGCCCTTATTAATTGGGATATTTAGTTCTCGGATCTTTGGGATGTCACGCAACACTCATCAGTTGAGAGAAATAGCTCTTTGATCTTTAGGATGACAAGCAACGCTCCCATCAAGGAGGGGAATTGGCTTCCAGATCTCGAGTTGTGGGATGACAGAGTTGAAATATCCTCAGATTCCCTCAGGGCTTTTATTCACTTGGGGGAAAACATCATACACTTCTAACACTTTTTTGAGCATCACCCTTACCTAGAAGATTTGTAAAATCAGGATAATTTGCAATGAGCTAATAGATTTAAACTGTTTATTCCGAACTGTTATCTCAAAGTAATTTTAAAAGGTTTGTTTCGTTTTTGGCATGGTAAATAGCGTGTCCGGGTACATAAGGGTCAATCGTTCATTCCATTTGTCTGAAATCGAAAGAAATTTGATGTCTACTGAACTGAGTGGAATTCCAATTTATCTAAAAAAAAAAAAAGGTGCGATTTAGAGTAAAAACTATTTTGACTCGAGAATAAATCGTACAACTGAGAGCCAATCAGATTGCAAGGATCACTTGTGATTTTTTAAGTCGAGTAGTCAGGGTACGCTGATGTAGTAGAGAATCTTTTTCAGCTTGTGTGCGCATCTGACATGAAATGACTATTATGCCATTAACTTTTGGGTGCCAGTTATAGTTAAGTGTCATTCGCCTTTTTTCGTTTATCCCCAACTCTTTTTTAGTGAGTTGTGTAAGCGTCACCTTTATCAACACCTGCAAAAGGCCAATAAAGATCTGGAAAACAATGTCGCCGACAACATTCAAGGGCTTCATTATCTCAGGAAACATTTATCGAATGAAGACGATGGTGCTTGACCAACGGAAACCGGTTGTATTTCACGCAGAGGATCTGGGTTCTAACCACTCAAATCAACTTTTACTGGAAGGACAGGAGTCGCTTTCAATTCTGCCATTTGATTGCGACGACAAATTTGTTAATGTTACAGTTAGCTGTCGGCCTAGCTAAACAGAGTAGATTGATCACACCTATCATCTTAAGTTTCACCTTCATGTGGACGTCTCGGAAAGCATATGTCAGTTCGAGATACTATCTGTGAGGAACTTTGCCCTTCGACACCTGAGGGTGACTATCGCTAGCATCTAATTTCTCCTTACAATATCACCCCTGAATCACAGATTAAGGTTACGAGAATAAAGGAATTGATCACCAACTAAAAGAGCTCTTAATTATTAAACAAATTCTCGTTATCACCACCTTAGGAAATGTAGAGAGAACAGTATGGAGAATACGAATACTGATCTTAGGGCATAAAAGGCTCACCTTAGTTTAGATATCTCAAGGCCTAGACCACGAAACTTCTTTTATGTCCCCTCGTCTTTTGCACTCGTCTTTTTCATAAAAAGGTCACAAACACAAGGGCGTAACTAGTGCCCAAGACTCCCCTTCCTTACCAACTTTACAATTCAGGGCCCAGTTGTTCAACCAACGCTAACGCTAACCGCCTAACGCTAACGCTAACGATAACGCTATCCACCGGATAAATCGCTATCCAGCGGATAAGTTTTGCCGGACAAAACGGGATGCGCTATCTACCGGATATAGATTTATCCAGTGGATAGCGTAGTCCACCCTTCGAACAACCGGAGCCGGCGAAAAATGCGAATCTGAAGAATTTCCTTGGCATACTTCTCTCAGTGTTAATCTTAAAAGAATGCCAATTTAAGAAACATGCACCGTGGATGTCGACATAACGGTCTAGCAGGTGTCCTGCGTGTTCCACGGTGTGACTCCTCTATTAGAATTAGAATTATATCCTAGCCTCTGAAACAAACCATGTAATGTCTACAATTTTCACTGCATCTCATGCTCTGAGGGTTCAGAATTATACTCCACTCTAGTTAAACCCACATGCCTCACTTGTCTCCATAGCAGTCTTTTATTCTGGCCCTGTTGTACTCAGTACTTTCGCATTAAAAACTTCAATCTCGTTGCCAGGGCCTTTTTCCTTACCAACTAAGGGAAAAGGCCCCGAGAACGAGGTTGTAAAAACTCAAGTTTCAGGCTTTTCTCTTTTTGAAGACCTTATACCTGTGAGGTTGCCTTTTGCTTGGAACCGAAATTTGCAGGTAAAAGCTTAATTTTCGTTATGCAAGTGTAACGCAGTTTCCCCAATAACATAGCCTTCAAAGCTAAGTTCAACGTGGCCGTAGGTGCTATAATGAAGCTTAAATCGTTGTAGTGGTCATTCTCTTTCTAATTAACAACGAAATTGTGTTTCTTCCGTCACGTGTATATTACTGGTCCGTCACGG